GATTCAGGACTATTTCAATTTTGGGTACTACTCCCTTGTTGTCCAAAATGAAAATGTGTTTGATCCAGTTCCTGTCCTTGCCGGTTAGATATAAAGTAACAGGGAGAGCAAAGATGTCTTCTAAACGTGGTGGGTTTTTTTGGTTATAGTTGTTTTGGGTTGTTTGGTTTCTTTTTAAATGTGCATTTTCTGCCAAGTTTGAATGAACAAAGAAAGTCTAAGTGAAAGCCAGGCTTGGATTTTAATAAAACAGGTGTGATGCTTGTTGCTTACTAAGCAGAGTATGGGATTTTTTGGTCATTAAACTCGGCACTGAAGAGAAAACTAATGTCTGCAAGACAATTGTTAAATATTTCAAAACATTTTTTTTCCCTTAAAGGGGACCCACGTAGGCCATATCCTACAGATCTGGAAATGAGGAGTGGTCTCTTGGGTCAGATGAACAACCCATCCACCAATGGAGTTAATGGACACTTACCAGGGGATGCACTTGCAGCGGGCAGACTGCCAGGTAAGAGAAACTCAGTTTTGTTTTGCTTTTCTTTATTCCTCGTACAGTCACAGCAATTACACGTTTCCCTTAGCAAAGGCAAATCAGAGTTCATTTATTTTAAATGGCTTTAAACTAAGTGATATTAAATCATTAGAAAGAAGCATTTTTCAGAGCAACATTTTCTTAGTAGTGATGACAAAGTATGGAATTGTGAAAGCTGTATTTGGAAGAAAAGAGGTTTATTTTTATCCCCTGCCTTTCTTTAAGTTTATGCTTAAAAGTTCTGGATTGAAAAGACATGGCAAGGGACAATTGACTGTAGGAATTGAGCTTGAATCCCTTAATTACTTAGTGAAATAGGCACTTCCGTTCACTTCAGTGGGATTCATTCATTCACGCTAAAATAGAATTTAGCAGTAAATTACCGTAATTGAATCAAGAGTTCAGTTGGTCTGTACATGTTCAGTATTAATCTACAATGATTGGACTAAATTGTGGAAAATTTCTTAGTTTGGATTCATAGGAGGTCAGAAACAGTTCCTACCTGTCTGTTAAGTCACTTTTTCAGGCATTATGGAAAGCTTGCTTTCAAAAATTATGCTGAATTTGTTAAAAAAAACCCTATTACAACTCCATTGGAGGAATAGTAAACTTGGCTTTTGTGTTTCTGATCATCTGTCTAATCCTATTGTCACCTCTTAGGAAGTGACTTGAAATTCTGCATCCTCTTGATCTGTAAACCTCTGACCTTGGATAAAATGGGTTGGTGAGCTGAATAGGAGTAGTACCCTGACATCTGTCCATAGCAACCCACCAGGGAAATGCTGAGGATGGGTCCACGTGTCTTTTCTGTTCTTTTGAGCTCTGTATGAATATATACTGTTTTAAAGTGGGGTGACGAGAGATCAAGAGCCATCTACATAAATAGGCCTCTCTGGCAGAGTAGACTTTTACAGTCAGAGAATTATTCCATCATGAAATGTTTTCCAGCTGTTACTGGAGGATTTCATCTGTCCAAAATTCAGAAAGGATTTTAAGATTTGTTTTGATTTCAAATTGAAGTTCTGGTTGAGCTGTCATGTTGAATTTTTTTGATATACAAAACTGATAGTTTGGTTGGTTATGCCCATTTTTTTTCCAGATGTGCTTGCTCCTCAGTATCCTTGGCAGTCAAGTGATATGTCAATGAACATGCTACCTCCTAATCATAGTAATGACTTCATGTTGGAGCCTCCAGGACACAATAAAGAGAATGAAGATGATGTAGAAGTTATGTCAACAGACTCCTCAAGCAGCAGCAGTGACTCAGACTAGGTACAAGAGGGACAGTATCCCTAGTAGACCTTTCCTGTGGTGAAGGTAGGTTGGATGATGTTTGTCACAAACTGCAATATCCTTTTGTTACGCCGGCAGCCTTTTGTAGGGACAAGATAACAGCTGGCTCAGAAATAAGGTGACTAATTTAAAACCATGGACTGTAGATTTTTTTTTCCGTTACATATTCAAGTAAAATGACTGGGAGCTTTCTGCTGGGGAGAGATGTAAAATTTTCAGTGATTGTATGAATGTGTATGTTTGTAAGAGACACGTGTGTATATATATATATGTATTCACTATACATTAGATGACAAAAGTTCCTGGGAAAAAAGGTGTAAGGGGAATCCCCTTGTATGTTTGTTAGTAACTTTAATCTTTTGATGATAACCTTTTCTATGCCACAGAAATGAGACATGAAGTTTGTAATTTTAGTATCTGTTTTTTTGTTACTGCCTAAATCCACGTTCTTGATCATCTATTTACCAAGAACAAAAATACGGCAATAAGGTCTAAAAAAAAGTTTGTAATTATTGTATTATATAATGAATGATTTGTTATAAATAAACTCAGCTTTGATCTAACTTTAATTTTCCAAACTTGAATCTGAGTTACCTAGTAACATCAACATTTTATCCCAGCATGTGGTTGAATTCTGATTGAGTTTCAGAAGTTTGTACTCCATTTTTGCGTTTGCAAAATGCCCACTCAGTGTTAGAAGCAGCTGAGGAGGAGTCAGAAACAGAAAGCCTGTCCTTTTTGGGTGAGCTCTATCAGGTACACATGCAGCTGGGCAGACCCTGAGGCAGCAGAGGGCCCATTCACAAGGCTGCACCAACACTTGGTTAAGCGTCCTGGGACCCTGGAGGCACACTGCAGGTTCAGCTCCTTTCCGTTCAAAGTGCTCTCAGATTTTTTTATTCTTGTCATCTGTAATTTTTTTTAGTTCTTTGAACCTGCTAATTTGTTTACTTGGTCAGTTGCATGTCCTGCCTCAGCTACAGTGTTATTTTGTCTTTCCAAAGGCACTTCCTTTGGCTTTCCTTTCCTTGTTCTGTTTTGCATAAGGAGTCATTTTGTGACAGCTGCTTTTCTCTTAGGTAACCTTCTGATCAAATCAGAAAACTAATGGGAACTGTTACCCCTGGCAGTTACAGGTTTCTGTCCTGCAGCACAGATCACAGTTCTCTTCACTTTTCCATTTTGTAGATTCCTTACAGGAAGTATCTGATGAATCAGGTACTTCCTCCTTTGCTCAGACAGTCTTTGTAATGCTGCCACATATGACCAAAAAATGTACAAATCCCATAGGGATGCAGAAAGGAAAAGGACTTCAGTCGGGTTCAATCACATAATATGGGGCAGTGTATTTTGTTTCAAGAGAAATGGGCAATTTGTTTTTGTCTCAGCTGCTCCTTTTGGAAGTATCTTCAGAGTTATTAAACTGTCACCTCTTTCACAGTCTAAGACTATTCATATGCATCTATATTTTAACCTTTATTCAGTATCATATTTTCCTCTTAGATGTTTACCTCCAATGTCTTTCCTCTTTAATTCACATTAATCCCAATACACGTGCCCTGTCTCAGTCATCCTAGTTAACCTTGCCTACACCGTTCATGGTTTTTTTCTTAAAACATGTGATCAGAATCATACACGATATTGCAAAATGGAGTTTCTTAATGCTTTCTATCACTGAATTAGCATTTTCTTTCTAAATGCCTCTCTCAACACATGACACACACAGTTCACTAGTCTTTTTTATCTTTTAACTTACAAGGACATTCTTTTCTCGGAGTGATATACAAAAATAGATACTTAAGTCATGCAAAGTGTAATGTTGCAACCTACCCAAATCTCTTCTATGGCTGTATCGTGTAGTTCACTAACTATACCGTTATATAACTATATATAGTTATATAACTATACCGTGGAGAGGGTGATTTTTTCCAGACAGGAAAGGAAGGAACTGAAGCAAAGACCACTTCTGTTTTTGGGTTGTGTGTTACTCTATTAAAGGATTAAATGGGACCAATGTGTTACATCTAAGAAATAGGTAAGACAACAGCTCTGCCCACTGTTGACTTAGCATAAAAACAGACTCTGGATATAAGATGCATTCTAATCACTTTCTTTGCATCAGTGCTCCAAACTGTGTACGGTTCATGAGTATGTTTCTCAACTCTGGCTAAGTATAACGCCATTTTAGGTGAATTCTGTCTGTTACAAGCAGTTTAGTGAATCACAAAGTTGTAACTGAGTGTTGTTATTCAGTGGTTTAGATATGTACATAATATATTTTTCTGTTTAGCAAAAATACCAAAAAGCAAAGTGAAGACTTAGTTGAAAGGACTGGGTCTTAGCAGCTAAAATCTACTAAACCAGATTTTGGGGGGTGGGGTGGGGATGGGAAGTACAAATGCATTATACATACAGACAGTTATTTAAGTTGGGGATTGCTGACAGTTGGTTGCAGTAATGCATTGTACTCAATCAGTCCACTTAAAAAGGATACAGAAAGGCTGACATATGGAGATACTGTTTGTGTCCTCATTTCAGTAACTATTTGTGTATTTAAAAGAGATAGAATAAATATAACCATTAACAAAATAGGGTAAGAAAGTATTTATTGCATGACAAGGCATTTTACAGTGGCCACTGTTTTCTCATTAGGAGCTAGAGGCCTTCTAAAATTTAAAATTGTACTAAATAATTTAAATATTTTTCCTCATTATTCTTTGTGACAGATGGGTAGAACATCTGTCAGCTATTCGTACAGCTTCTTTGTTGACTGCTGGGTAGAATAATTTTCAGTGTACATAAGGTTGCCTTCAAGAAGCAAATCTCCACTTTTGAATAGAAAAAATAAGCTTTTTACAAAGGTACAGTAGCAAAGGAATTTTTGGTGATATGTCCAGTTCCAAAACTGCTGTATAACATTATCTTCTTTCTTCACTTCAGAGATAGGGTGTCTGTTGTAAGGAAAATTGCACATAGGTAATACTTCAAACTCTAAGCAGGAGGCTTGCCATCGGCAGTAGTGTCTTTATATCTCATATCACTGTGCCTGCTTCTCAGCAAAAAAGTCATCTCCATTTAAGAAAATGTACGTGCAAAGTAAGGAAAAGCTTTAAACCCTTCAAGCTTATTTAAGAACCAAAGATTCAACTCATAATTTCAGACAATTTTAATCTTTCAATATTGTGCTTGTGTTTTATTAAAAAGAAATTAAAGATATCTCACAACATTTTTGTACAATGAGTATATCTAAAAGAAACAGACAAAAATGGTGTTAAAGAACCCTGACGGGAAAAAAAAAGATCCAATTAGTGATTTCTTTAAAAGTCTTTAAAAGTCATATCCTAAAATTAATTGCTGATGTCCTAGTGCCTACAGCTGGAAAATAACCAAATTTGGTTACAGATTCTAGAAAAATTAAAAATATAAATTCATTGGTTTTGTATGTATCTTCTGTATGTATCTTCACTACCAATTCAGTCATTTAATCATGTCAAACTGAAAATTCACAATTTTATCGAGTCCCAGTAGCCATACAGAATAGAATTACACCATCTGTGCTGTTTAATACTGACAACTCTCTTTAGCAAAATAGTATGACTTTTGCCATTGAGCTACACCTATAAATGAGATAATTTTGTTATTTATGTCAGCCTAGTAGAACACTGTAGGCACCATTATAAGAGTTTAGTAACATTAAGTCAGATCAACTGCAGAGATCTGTGACATTTTTACAGATAAATTCAATGTATCTGAGGCCGCAAACAGAACTCTTACAAAAGCAAGTGACAAGAAGGATCAGGGAATGTCATTCCCTGCAATAAGCCATTATAACTTCTTCATATTTATAATACCCTTGATTTTCAAGTATACACTGCCGACTGCAGGAGAATGAGGCACTGTCTGTGAAATGTAACTTTTTTTCATGACAGTAACTTCATAACTAAAGCTAAGAGACAAGGCTAAGTTTTAAAAGTGGTCCAATAATTATAGGAAAGCAGCATGACATACACAGTAAGTTTACATATAAAGCAGGGCAGTGGTTTAAACAAGTAAAGTTTTCTTGGGCCTGATGCTGCAACTGTTTCTAATTGAGTAAGCTTCTCTGGCTAGTTCTAACTTCCAAAGGGCTGTTCATCTATATAAAGATTAACCAGACAAAACACTGAGTTTGCTATAAAAGCAAATATTAATTGTTAACCACTACAGCTAGAAATAACTCTGGAATGAGAGACCACTGTTGTGTGAAATATGGTAAAAGCACTGAAACATTTGGCATCTTTCTGGCTTTGGGAAGGGTAATATTTTCACATGGGCAGCGTGAGCATGATAAACCCTTTTTTTCTTTCACATCAAAAAAAGCAGCTCTGTCCTTTAGTGTGTTACATATGTACAATTTGGTTTTACCCTAGTTGGTGACTTCCTGTGTATCCCTTTAGATGATCAAGCTCTTCCGTAAAGGGATTGTAACCTTGCTCTCTTAAACAGCGTAAGCCCCAGAACAGTTGATCTGCTGGAGGAAATTCATCCCATTTAACCCATTCCCAGCCTGCAGGGAGAAAAAAAAGAAGGGGAAAAAATCAGAGTACAGAATTAAGACATAGGAGGTTTAGGCTGAATATTGGGAAAAGGTTCTTCACCCAGAGAGTGGTCAGGCACTGGAACAGGCTCCCCAAGGAAGTGGTCATGGCACCAAGCCTGACAGAGTTCAAGGAGTGTTTGGACAAAGCTCTCAGGTACATGGTGGGATTGTTGGGGTTGTCCTGCGTGGGGCCAGGAGTTGGATTTTGATGATCCTTGTGGGTCGCTTCCAACTCAGGGTATTCTGTGATTCTGTGTTATAAAAATTCTTCCTCTGCAAGTCAGGATGGATTGTGCAGAAACTACCAACGTAAAGCCAAGTTCTCAGTCGCATGCAGAGTCATTCTGCCCGAGCAACTTCTCTGTTGCCCGGAAAAGCTGTGGATGCCCCATCCCTGGAAGTGTTCAAGGCCAGGCTGGATGGAGCTGACCTAGATCTTCCACTAGCCACCTGATCTAATGGAAGGTGCCCCTGCCCGTGGCAGGGGGATTGGAAGTAGGTGATCTTTAAGGTCCCTTCCCACCCAGTCCCTTCTGTTACGTCACATTCATCACTCACCCTCGTTCTTGTCGGGCTCCTGGTTGCGCGGCTCCGCGCCGGGCTCGGCCTCGCCCTTCATGAGCACGGTGACGTAGTGGTACCGCGCGGACGCGCACACCGCGTTCACGGCCGACGCGAACCGCACGTGGCGCAGTGGCAGCGCCGCCTCCTCCAGCGTCTCCCGCGCCGCGCACTCCGCCAGGCTCTCCCTGCGGGACGGGACAGGACGGGAAGGGAAGGCATGGCACGGCATACGAGGGCGGGGAGGGGAGGGCGCAGGGCTCCTACCCGAACTCCAGGTGGCCTCCGGGGAGCTGGTAGGTGCCAGCCCCCAGGGCGCCTTTCCTCTTGCCCAGCAGGACGCAGTTGGGGTGCGCGGCGCTGGTGACCACCACCCCCACGCCGACCCCAGGCCGCCGGGGCTGCGCCATCTCCTCACCCATGGCAGCCCTCGGCGCCTGGGAAAGCTCCTACTCCCCGCGGGAGGGCGGGGGCGACTCGGCCAATCAGGCTTTGGGATCCCCGGTTTTGGGAGGCCCTTGCCCGGAGGGTGTGTCGGGAGCGCGCAAGGTGCACGTGGTGGTGACGTCGCTGAGCTTCCCAGGCAGGCTGGGGAGGGAGCGATGCTTCTGTTTGTGTGGGGTTCTTTGGCCGCTGAACGCAGAGGGACTGGGGAGGCGCCGAGAATTGAAGGCGCGTTTGTGCAAATGAGGGGCAGCTGAAAACGAGGAAGATACAACTCGGGTTCTTGGAGGTCGTGGAGCCAGTTGGTCTCTGACTACAGATTTGTTTAGATCTTAAAAAGTGGCCCTTCTTTGGTTAGGCCACAGTTTCCGCTGGGTGACGAGTCTGACTCTGCAGAGTCACTTTGAAGTTATTTAAAAAGGAAGCTACAAACTTAGCTAAGCAGAGCTCCAGAGGCAGAATAACAGTTCCTGGCTGATAAAGAAGAAATAACAGTTTCTGCTAGCAAATATTTACCTGATTTTTACATTTTTTAAAATTACAGAGATATGCAGAATATACAAACTTTCATTTTCCTACAAACAACTGTAAAATTTGTCAGATTTTCCCCTTCCTCAGCCTGTTGATCCCAATGGATACGAAGTTTCTTATTTGCAGACCTTTCAAATAGTACTGGTTTTTTTTTTTTTTGTTTTGTTTTGTAAGGTTTTAAAATACCTATGTACAGATGTTTTTATTTACATAAGAAGGTCACAGGGCCAAACGGCTGAAGCTTAATCACTACTTTTTGTAGGATTAGTTTTCTGAGGTTTAATTGCCTGAACTGGCTCAGTACAGCATCAGATGAGTCCCAATGTTGGCGTGAAGGAAATTGCAGAAGTGATTGGCTGGGCATGCTAGAAGCAAGGCTGCCCTTTGGCAGTGGCTGGCTCTGCTGTTTAGCTGTGATGTCAGTCCACACTCCAAATTACTGACATTAGTTACAAATTATGATGATAATAATAATAGGCAAATTGCCAAGCTAACAAGCTAACTGACTTTTTGTAAGCCAAGCTCATTCACTTGTATCTGTCCCCCAGTACAGCTGGAGTATCTTAATCTCCAGATGAAACATTAGTCAGTTATGTCACTTCTGTATTTACATTACATTTACATTTCTGTATTTACATCTTACAAAAGCCCTATGAAAGACTCCTCAGCCACGAAGCTCATTCTGGTCCAATACATTAAAACACCACAAGGCTGTTTATCTGAACAATAAAAACATTCTACTTTCTGTGTACACCATTTTCCTGTACCTTTTACCAAACAGGATTTAGTAACAAGACTGAGGGTGACCTACTGTCATTCTACTGATACATTTTTAAATACAAAAAAATATTCATACAGTCATTATGCTTGTTTAGAATGTTAGCAGGATATAATTCAATGAAAATATTACAAAAAGATGATGATGAAGAATATAAAAAGTATATTTTTATAAACAACTGTAATTTTTGTCAGTAGGCTAAGATTTTCTCTTTCTCTCTAGTGTCCTATTGATCACAAAAAGGATGTGAAATATTACTCCTTTACAGGACTCTAAAATAGCTATTTTTTTGTTAAGGTTTTGAAATCTGCTTGTATACAGATGTTTAGATTTAATTGTTTCAATTTTTTCACCTTACATTTGTAAACATTATCATAAAGAATATTGTATGAAAATAAGCATTTTGTTGACTGAATCTGTTTTAACTGGTTTAACTCTAGGATTTATTTAGGACATGGCTGTGCAGTCAGCTTTTGCAGATTATGAAGTAAATATAGGCTGGTGTTTCTGAGTTTGACAGTGAACAGACATCCACTGAAGAAAGACATAAGAATAAGCCAAGAATGAGGAAGCAGTAAGGTGCATCTTCTGCCATAGGAGTATGATGAAAAGCTTGCAAGGTTATGATTTATGTGCTCTTGTAACTTGTTTATTAATATTTCAACTGACAAAATACTTCTGTGAGACAAACAGCTGAGTGTATTTAAACCCGCATGTGTCCAGGTGGCTATTGAAAGGGAGGCACCTACTTTTCAGGCCCAATCCCTTGTTCCTTATGCTAACACTGTTATTAATTGCAGTTGCTGTGTGATGAATGGGATGAGTGAAACTGATCTGGATCTAGAAAACCCATTTTTTAAAATGATTTTGTTTTGTAGCATGCTGTGGGGCACAGAGAGGGGACGGGACAGAGTTTGATTACATTAAACATAGCACAAAGCCAAACCTGACTCAGCACACTGGGAGACAGATTATTTTTCCAGCAGGATGTGTTCCCTGATGCGATTTACAGATCAGGTACATAAACAAGGGAGGCAGCAAGTAGGAGTAGCTGAGAAAAAGAATGGTGGGACTAAGCTTGTCAGTGACAGGGATTTATGTCAGATTAAAATGACTACACAGCCTAAGAGGCATTAAAATGACTACATAGCCTAGAATGACTACACAGCCATTCAGTAAGAAGAACGCACATAGAGAAAGCAGGTCACAAAAGCACACAGTGTGCAACAGCTTCTTAAAAAGCAGCCACACAACCACAAAACATCCATCTTACTGAGAATTTCATGCACATGGTTCCCTGGCTGTGGAACTTACTATATATTCACATTTGCTTAGCAGAAGTATAAACTGGAAGATGTGAGGATTATATTTAAATATTTTACATTGGAAAGCTGTCATTCAGAAGCTGGGTGGAATGTGACAGCAATGCATGACACCAAAGTCCTGCCAGCAACCTTGCTGAAACTTGAGCTCGGAGGATTTTCCTTCGTTTGCGTTCAAGCAGCTGGTTGTTATCCTAAACCTTGATACTGAAAATTTAACATTGTTAACTGTTTCCTCACTTGTATTTTAGCAGAAGTATTTCCACAACACCTCATGCTTCCACTAAATTGCTGTCTTTGGCAATAAATCATTCCTTGCTGTAATGTTACAGCTTTATAGATATTAGTGGAAATCAGGCAATGTACTGTCGCAGGGTATCTTGTCTTGAGGCCTGGTCCGGTGGGGGAAGAAAGACGCACAAGACACACAGGACACACAAGGATAGTGAGACGAGATGTCTGTCTGCTCAGAGCAGCAGGCAGCCTTTTATTGAGTTAACTAACTTCTACTTTCTCACACTCAGAACATAAACATATTCCCACAAAACACACAGGAATTTAACACCTGCACATTATCATACAGCTTTGGCCTTGTACTGCCTAACACCCAAGGCTGTATCTATGGGAACATGTGATTAGCCTTACTTTTCTCAAGGGAAAGGCCTGACACCCTGCAAAGCTTCAAGCTCTTCTACTTCCAGGGGGCTCGGGGGTTCTATGGGCCTGCCATTTCCCCCCACAATGTACGATGCGTTGGTTTTATGCTAAAATGTAAATAAGCTCTGATCACAGGACCAATAGGACAAATTAGAGCTCTGCTATAGGTGTACTGTCTTCATTGCTTGTTAATGATTTCTTTGCTCTCCTGTGTACAGAAATGACTGAGTCATCAGAATGAGTGTAGGTGGTGAAACAAATGTTTTATTTGTAGCTCTGCCACTAACATATTAAGCGACCTTGGACAACTGGAGAAGATGGATTGTGCTTCAGCTTCTATGAAACTTCTGGGTGTATTCAATCCCAGGGGAGACTGAATCAGAAGAATATGAAACTATCCATTAGCTCAGAACAAAAATCCAGTACTATCTAGGGTAGTACTTTGCAGTCCAGAGTGGATGTCTGGAATATAATAGGCAGGAAACCATGATGGAGCTTTTGACTACTATTCTATAGCCATCTGTGGCTCAGTGACTTCTCAAGGCAGAGATGGCTTCTGTGTATTTACTAACCTTCTTCTTGTTTCTCTTCTTTAAACCCACCAAGACTCCTCTTGATGTAAACTTCCATCATTTTCAGCATCCATGGCAAGGTGCTCCACAGCTTAACTATGTGAAGAATCACTTTTGCAAACAAAATCCTTTTGCTTTCATTGAACCTTTCACCTACCATCCTCCCCTGGTGTTTCACAGTTCTTCTATTGGGAGAGATGTTGGGCTGATTCTTAATGTTCATACTGTCCCCTGTAGAAAACTGCACCCATTCAGACCTGAGACTGCATACATCAAACGCCTGTTTGTTAGGAGAGGTGTCAGAGTCATTGGCAGAGGCTTTGGCTTTCTCTGATGTTCTTCTTGCAAGACCCTCTGCCCTAATGTTTTTCATCTTAAATATCAACCAGTGGAGCTTACAAGGTCTGGGAAACAAATCAGATTGTACCATTGTCACTAGGTAGATGTGGTAAATCCATAATAAAGCGAATTAATATCTATTTCTTAATGCCTGAGCCTTCTGGGATGCTTTATTTGGCCTCAAGCAGCTGCTTGTCTGTTAAAACATCTTGGCTCCTTCTATCTCATTTGCAATGTACCTTTTCCTTTTTATAGTTTTAAATACAGCTTTAGAGAGGGCTTCTATCCTCTGTTAAAAAGCTTACTCTGACTTCAGCAAGAAATCTCACAATTTTAAACTTCGAATAGGAAGGAACCTTTTTCTGGAGATTTAGCAAAACATCTGGATGTCTATCAGAATACTACAGTGATTTCCCTTTCCTTGCACAATCTCTGTGTTTGGAGTATAGGTATTGAATTAGACTGAGCCTGTACAAACTCGAGTTAGAAGAACTGGACTCACTAGGAATTTGTCTGGTTGTAGTCAAGATTGTTATCTTTTCTTGTTTCTCTAAGAAGGTGAAGAAAAGGTCAATGTGTCATTTTTAAGAACTGTTGGTTTTAAGGTTTGAGTTGTACCAATTCCCGATCACCTTGTGCTGACAGTCTGAGCCGTATGGTGGCACTGCTGATCAGACAGAAATCCATGCTTTTTTCAGTGCATCCCAGTTAAACCAGTTCTCACAGCTGGAAAGAAATTGGACGATATATCTCTCCATACAGCTGTGTATCAGACTAAAGACAATGGCATCAATCTTTCTAGAAGTCCTTAAGTATTGTCAACTATGTAACATTTCTTCTTTTGATGTATAAGGTAAAAACCATCTTCATCTTAAAACTGGAAGGGTAAGTCA